TTTAACGAAAATGAGAGATTGGAGGAAAGGAGAGAAGATTTGTTGTTGTTCTTTTGTAACCATGCAGAGCTTATTTTCCGCTTCTCTTTTGAAAAATTAGATGATCACTTTTGATCAACCGTATCTGCACTTTTCCGGGTTCCTTTTAGACGATTTATCAAACAAATGTGTGGGTTTTTCACAGGATATAAAGGGCCATTTATGAGCTCGTATAAACTAAAACCCGTCAACCGGGATACAGTAAGAATTCTGTTTATCTTCAGCTGACGTTCCATCCACCGAAAAATAATCTTGGAAACTTTGAACAATCTTTAGTGATAAGTGAAATGTTGACTGTACATGGTAAATCCATCCGACACCTTTGGAATCAATTATGCCGAACCATGGAGGTCTTATTTTATTAAATGTACACTCAGAAAAGCTGTTCGTTATTGAGTGCACCTCTAGATCGCGGACAGTGCGGGAATTTTTCTATTTAATAAGCTGTCGCGGACAATCAGCGGCAATACCCAATGTTCGTGACCTTTTCCACCGAACGAGCGGTATCTGTGGCAACAAAACAAAAACAAATTTCCGTACACAACATTGTTTAGTTTGACGGGTAGCTCTTGATTGTGTGGGTGCATTCTCTAAGAGAAAGGTAGAGTCGAACTTAGGGTGTCGCTTTGTTCTATATTCTCCGAATTCTTCATCAATTTATCCAAGAAACCGACTAATTCTCACGGACAAGCAAGTCACCGAAAAGTAAAAGATATGTTGGGAATCACTTCTTTTATGACGGAAAAAGTACAATTGTCATCTATGAACTGTCAACCCCTCATTTTTATCCTATTTTCTTCAAACCAATGTCTCATTTTGTCACTTAATGTGTCGTTATAGTGGCACAGAAATCGTACAGACTCCGCGCGCAAAGATATCATTTTGGACGATGATGCACCAGTTGGGGATGTGCTTCAGTCATATCCATCGGTCGAAGTTCGCAAATGGTCTCAATCTTTCAGTCGCAAAACTATAATCGGACCGAACGGAGTGAGTTGCTGCTTCGTCTGCGGAATTTGTCTTATTGAAAATGTCCTTCATTCAGACCACACCAAGTAAAATCCTCATTTCATCCGGTTAGTTTGGAACTCAGGAAGTCTGTACTCTAATTTCATTCTCGTTAGAGCAAATCTATCTTCCCATCTTGAATTTCAACTCGACCCCTCATGGTGTTACCACCGTACCAACCAGGTCACTTCGGAGTTAACCAGAATGATCAAGTTTGTTCCCTTTTAGTCTTCAATGATAACCATTTGGTGGTAGACAGCTTTGCTGCTTCAATACCACGCCTACCTGTCGGGGCCTTATGTGGTTCATCACTCCAAGTCCCGGGGCTTAGGTTACCCGTTTCCATGACGGAGCAGCAGATCTCCGTGACTATGGAGTTTCCCCCGTCTGTTGTTCACCACACAGATGTGTGTATAAAAAAACTTAGCTCAAGAAGCCTATCAGCAATGGTCTGTTAACCGCAGTTTGAATCCTCTCACGAGTAGCATCAAGTCAGTGAACCGATGATTGTGCTTCGTACTATCAATTGATGCAATTTGGATCGCTGTTATGAACAATGACTTATTTGATCGGGCAAGTCAGAAAACAAACTCTGCGACAGGAATACTTTTCGTCTACTCTCAGCAGTCGCATACGTATAACATACAAAGGATAGGCAGGTAAAGTGAATTAAGAAATCTAGTGAGCTTTTACCGTGTATAATGCACATGGTTGGTTAGACAGGGAAGACCAAGGGTAATGGTTATACTCTTTTGGACACAGCGTGGGTTTGTTGTTAGCGATCGATACTACCTCGAGTATCCTTAGTCGGTGTTTGTCATGATGACGTAATAAAACCGAGAACGCATTCGCGTTGTGACCGCTTTCTACAAAGTAGCACTCGATGGCCGAGGTAATCCTGCCAGAATTTGTGGTATGAGTCATTAATGAATCTTTCTCCTAATGACCTGGATTCTTGTTTTTGGATCATCGTTTTCTTGGAGTGTATAGAATTTTCTTCAGCAATGGAATATAGAACGATATCTGAGTCCCTCTCAAGGGTCTTAAATTTCAATGTATTTTTGGAGCGTGTTTGGATTTTCTATCATATTCAGCTACGCGTTTCTTCAATTTAGTCGTTTGCCCAACGTATGTTGCTGGAAATTGTTTACATGATATCGTGTAAATAAGATTCGGCTGATCGTCTTTTAGTTGTTTGTCTTTGAGTCGCATCAATAGTGAATAAAGGGTGCTGGTTGCCCGAAATGCCGCTAGTTTTTTTAAACAGTTTATTACTCCTAAACAAAAATTGTTTTTGCTTATGTTATATAGATTCAAACGTTCTTATGCTTTTACAAATATAAATGTCACTTAAAAAGTGATCCATCATCGCATTGAGAAACAAAGAAAGGATCATCTCTGTATGTTCGAAATGCATTTTTGCTTATCTTCGCGATCTACGCTGCAAGTTTTACGTATTTGCTCGCTTCAGGCTATCAGAAAGTGGCATTCAAAAATACAGACCCTGATGCTCACATTAGACTAGTTTCATATTTTGCTTTTCTACTGCAGTGATTATGATCCATTGGTTTCATTCGCTGCCCCAACCATTGAAGTTTGATGTTCAAACACAGCTGCCACCACCCGACTTTGTCGGTAGACACACGAACTATCGATCGGCTCAATACTACCTATATCCTGTTGAGAGCATCACTTCAGTTTCTGGCGCGTAGTGAGCTCTGATGATAATGATGATGTTTACGCTCTTCTAATATCCAACACAAAATGGTGTAATAAAAAGTCAAGTGTTTAAACCTCTACCTCGGGCATTTTTCTCTCTGACCGGTCTATGTTCTCTCACACACACTTTGAGCTGCAACAAACCACACGAAACGTATATCCTTATGTGATATAGAACACGCTAGTTTTATCATGGCTAACACTAATGTCTGTCGATTGTGAACTCCGAACTAAATGCTGTAGATGCTAGGCGCGCTCTCAGTTTGCCTCACTCATACAGCTAGCAGCCCAACGGATTCCCGGGCGATAGTGATGATACCGAAAGAAGTCGAGGTTTTCAACCTAGATAGTGTTTATTCCTTTGCATGTAACCGAATATTGTACAAAAGCGATCCTCTCACATGACTCAGTATTTTGGTCAGTGGGTTTTTAAATGAGCTCACCTCGCGTGAGTAAGCTATCAGACTCACATGTTAAAATATTGATCAATCTGACTTATTTTTTGCTGGTGCTGATATTTCATCACTTCGTGTCTACATTAGCGTTTTTTTTACTTTGCTCGGATCTTGTGTCCAAGGAACGCATCGAAACAGAAACAAAGATGACTCAGGAACCGGATGGAACTCAGATACACACAATTGTTGAAAAGTCACCTCGGGGTGAGCGCAAGCGAATTGTTCGTCGTAACCCGGACGGACGAGAAGAAGTCGAAGAAAGTGACACAACGTGTATGTTGAATATTTTTTACTGTTTCTCTTGCAAACACTTCCTGTACTTTTGCTTTCCTGGCCTATTTTGGTAGCCGTTTCGCTGTTTTTTTTTCACGCGAATTGTCTTTACGGTATATAGCCTGTTGGTTGCTTCTGTGTTATTTTCTTTGTTGTCTCTATTTATTTATGCTTAATTACATGATTAAAACAGACAGGGTGCCAAAAGAAGACTTTCCTCTCCTTTGTGAACTATTGCGAGCACAAGTGTGCATGCAGAGGTACTGAGAAATTCAAAGACAATGACTTCTTTGGTAGTGGTTTTCTACCGTACGCATTTCACATGTTTTACCACTTACTTATTTTGGCTGTAGAGGAAGACCCAGGCATTTACGGTGACTTTTATAACACACCATAAATTTCAATTCCGAGTTGTAGAGCAATCGCTATTTTTCTTTCAAGGGTGATGTGAATAAGCTGTTAGAATGCCGCTCGATCAACCTATCAAACGAGCGTACAACACAGGCTTGATTTAGACACATCACAATGCTGGCTCCTGTGTTCAAGCAACCGCTTTCACAGTACGCTCAATCCCATCAATGGTACCAATTCGTCTGTACGTGGTCGGCAACTAACCGAGAGACCGTTTATGCAGAGTACTTGCACGTTCCTGAGTGGGTTACTTTTTCGTCTTTCCATCATGCATAATTGTGTATTGTTGCTGAAACGGAATTTTAAATAAACAGTCGCACACCGTGTCAAAAAATGACAACTTTTAAGGCGCGGTCTGCTTGATGAAGTCAGAAGCCCCACGCAATGGTAGGCCAGTCTGGCTTTTTCTGCGATCATATTTCTGCTGCTCATTAGTGCAACCGAGCGATATTGACTGTATATGCGAATACAAGATGTACTCGCGTCGGTGATAGCAATAACATTTCACTATTTATTTATAGAGCACACAAGTGCACAGTCAGCTTTCAGGAATTGGGCGGTGGCCAAACAGGCTATCTGAGGAAATGGGATACGTAGTCGGCGATGGTGAGATTCAAACTCAGGACCTCTAACTCGCCCTCTTTGATCATTGTTACCCACATGATCCACTTTTGTTCCTTTGTTTTTTTTAATCCTGCCATTATGACGCGCGATTAACCTGTTTTTAACTCACTTTTTCAGTCTCCGCCATCGAGAACTCAACCTCGCCCAAACTATTAGAGTTTCCTGAAGAACCTGACCAATCAAGAAGTGCAGCGCAAAAAACTGGAGGGATTTTCGACTCAGTTCGACGGTGGTTTCGAGGGGAAGGCTAGTCATTCCTCTGCCAACCCAATGTATCTACTCATCATACGGCTTTCTCTGATTTTTTCGCCTACCCTGATAATCCTCGTTTGACAGATGGTCCATCTTCATCAACGATCCCATTTTGTTTAGTGCAGTTGCACACAAGTGCATAAAATACAGTACCAAGAATACCTTTTTCTTATAAATCATTTTATTTATTGTTCTCTTTTCATTTTACGGAGTGAAGTATCATCTTTGCAATGGTGAATAGTTCAATAGTTTCTCAATCAGATCCACATGCGAAAGGAGCATTCGTCGACAACAGTAACGTCGCAAACCGAGCGTGTCCAACGCGTCACCTTCGGAATACTCTGCCTGAAGCAGACCAATATAACTTTCCCATTTGTCCCCGATGACTTTGCCACAAGTGAAACAACGAATGGGAATGATCATTCTGTGAGGTGCTGAAAAGAGGAAAAAGTAAAATAAATGCACGGTTAGTGATCCGTGGTGATACAACATAAGCATTATTCACCTTGACCAACAACGCGTAGCTAACTTAGTCGTTGCTCTGCAATATTCGAGATGGTCCTGTTCACTGTCATTTATGCAATGTGAGTAGTGCGTTATTTTCTATATTTTTGCCATAGTGATTGACTGAAAGATGTTCCTGAGAGTAGTCGAGCTTCCCTGAATTCCGGTTTCGGTACTTTGATATGAACCCAATGTGCACAAGGACGTGCTGTCCACATATTTTGCGCTCCAACATAGGCTCTGGAACTTGGATTAGCGTTCGCCGTCAGACACAATAGGACAAACGTGGCACTGAACCAGCCAACGGTCCAGCTTCTTACCAGAATTTGGGTCGGGCTTCAAACCACGCCAGTGACAGCGGTTTCAGCCGTTCTCGATGAACCTGGTGTGCACATTTGGCGAATTGCAGCGATTTAATGACAGGTGGCATGTGCAGTGAGTGGTCAAAAGTAGTGGAAATCTGTGGCGATGCACCTTTCCGCGTAGCCTTTCTACCGTTTTGTTGATCACCAATTTATCCTTATCGGATTTATATTCACTGACGACTGCTCATGACTTGGTTAGGGACACCCTAGTCTCCGAGCAGTGTTAAACTGCTAACAAAAGAGAACCGGGTTCGGTACAAACTCATCTTTCCTTTGATTTTGTACAAAACCACTGGTCAAATATGGTCTATTTTCCCGATGGAAATTTGAAATTAGTGTTCATGGATCTAAAAGTAAAATCTGTGATGCGTTTACTATCCTTTGACGCACGACAAAAGCCACGTCAAACCCGAATTCAGAGCATCCAAAATACAACGCAATCATGCCGCAGTTAAAAAAATTCTATATAGATCAGGTAAAACAAAAACAGGGATCGCATTGTGTATTTATCCCTTCGGGTGAAGTTTGAGCAAGGCGCGTTTCAAACTAAAATAAACCCTAAATACTCTGCACCAACAAGTGGGTGTGAGATCGATAAGCCACAAAATGCACAGTTGAGAGAAGAGACCCATAGGGATAACTGCAGGGTCCTTGTACACAACTTCGGAGGGGGAGTGATAGTATTAGAATCAACTTCGATTGTTGGGGTCAGGCACATTCAGAAGAGTGAATGAAAAACAATTTGGCAAGAGCTGGACAAAATGAGGCAAATAAGAAAATGCTGAAGTTTCAGTGTTGTTCTTGCACTGGTGGTGATGGTGGAACGGCAGGATCGCGCTCCATGTGTCCCGATTCTGAAAATGATGTTTCCCTAGGTACGACAAGTTGTTCGTTTGTGACTGCCTGCGGAGAAGGTTCTTCTCCAGCCACCAATGAATAAGGAGGTGGTCCGAATGCACCCACGGGCATCGCCAATGCATCTTCATATTTTGGGGGCATGTAACGCTCATTGGGAACCAGAGTGGGTGTGGCCCGTGCCAAAGCTGTCCCGTCAGATGCAGTATGTAGCAGTACGATTATGTGCCCTTCATCTAAGGGGGACAATAAAGCGGGAGAGGGATAGACGCAGCGGAACAACAAGTGGTAAATAATAGGTGATCCTTTACTGCATCCATGTAACATGAAAAATAAACTTCGTACGAGTTTAAGCCATAGAATCTCGTTAGTGTTGCAGCGGAAAAAATAACTTCAAATAGCAATGCGTAAGCTACTACAGATTCTACTCGGTACACTCAATTCAACCAAACTGGTTGTTGAGTTTATCCTGGATTCAAGTGACGAAAGTAGCAGTGTAATTGCATTGCGAAAAACGATTACAAATAGGTATTCGTGTGGACCGACCCACATCGGAATTTTCACTACCTATCGGTATGATGAACGGGATAAGGTGCGAACCTCATCATCGAGAGGACTTACTATTAATTGACAGTAATCCGCAGTCTAGTCCAGAATGGTGAAAAACAAGGTTCAAACGCGATGGGTGTGGTAGTGAGAGAGATCACAGCAAAGCTACCAGTGATTAATCACCTTTATTTGGAACTATAAATAGAGATTAGACGAATTGTGGAGTTGGTAGACATTCTAGCGAATGGCAGTCATCGGATTCTTTAATCACGTACATATAATATAATATATGAGCAACCAAAACCGACGCACGAAAGTGCATGGTTAATGGCTGTAATAACTGAACTGAACTGATATATAATATACCTATCACCGGTTTGAGAACAAGCTTGGTGCCAATACATCAACAATAATAACAGGATGGGGGATCGGGATACAAAAAGCGAGAAATGGAGGTCAAACAATTTATGTCAAGGTGTTCATCAGATCTGGTGGCCGTAAAAGTGAGGTGGAAACAGCTTAAAGCTGTTAAGCCTTCCGACCCGACGGTGTTGATCGACTATTAAAAGGGTTTCGCTTCAAGGATAAATACGACCCCATGAAGAAATGTAATTCGAAACGCAATACATGCAGATAAACGAATAAACACGTACTTGTGGATGAAGCTCCACGTGTGATTGCGTTGGAAAAACGAAGCTGACTGAGGCCCGGAGACGGTAGAAGAACGTTAGGC